TGTGCTAAAAAAAAAATAAAATCAATAAGGGAGAGCTGATTGTCCATTCAAAACGCCAAGTCAATACAATGTGCCTACCTCCCATAGGGGAAACATAAGATGTGCCCACCTCCGGGAGGGGAAGCATGTTTAACGAAGCAAAGACAAAAGGAAGTATCTCCCCGAGGGGAGACATAAAAGGTGTCCACCTCCGGGAGGGGGAACATGTTTAACAAAGCAAAGACAAAAGGAAGTATCTCCCGGAGGAGAGACATAAAAGGTGCCCACCTCCGGGAGGGGAACATGTTTAACAAAGCAAAGACAAAAGGAAGTACCTCCCGGAGGGGAGACATGAAATTTGCCCACCTCCGAGAGGGGAAGCAGGCTTATCGAAGCAAGGTACAAAAGGACAAACCTCCCGGAGGGGGCCATAAGATATGCCCACCTCCCGAAGGGGAGACATAAAATATGCCCACCTCCTGGAGGGAAGTCATAAAATGTGCCCACCTCCCGGAGGGTAGACATAAAATGTGCCCACCTCCCGGAGGAGAAACACAAATGTGCCTACTTCCGGGGGAGAGGCATGTTAAGAAAAGTACAAAGTGGTGGAGCGGAAGACGGAACCCATATGATAAAGAAGGGATGACGCTAATTAAGCCGCTATCAAGCCTAATCCTTGAGGTTGGGGTCGGCTACGTTGGGGTCGGCCACGTTGGGGTCGGCCACGTTGGGGTCGGTCATGTTGGGGTCGCACGTTGGGGTCGGCCACGTTGGGTTCGGTCACGTTGGGGTCGGCCACTTTGGGGTCGGTCACGTTGGGGTCGGTCACTTTGGGGTCGGCCACGTTGGGGTCGGTCGCGTTGGGGTCGGTCACGTTGGGGTCGGTCGCGTTGGGGTCGGCCGTGTGGGGCTCGGATCCATGGAGTGCGACTCGTGTTTACTCTCCTTCATTAACGAACCTCGGCCCAAGACGCCTCGACACAAGGCACCTCGGCCCAAGAGGGGCTACCTCATGAGCTCACCCAAGAGGAGGACGACTACCTCATGAGCTCGCCCAAAAGTGAACTCAGAAATCAAAGTCTCATACACGATGCCAGGGAGTCCAAGACTTGTTAGTGTTCTTGCGGAAGAGAAGAAGTCCCGATTGCGAAAGTCGGCCAAAGAGGAAGACGGAAGAGAAGAAGTCTCGCTCATGATGGATATATTACGATTGGAGCAAACTGACCCGGGAAAGCGGAACAAGGAAGTATGGAATAGACCCGGGGCATAGTGGCGGGGCCTCGTGCTCGGCCCAAGGTGCCTCGATCATGGTGAGCTCGGTCACAGGAGGTCGACTAATTATCAGCTCGGGGCAATCGTGTGAGAGTCGGCTCGCAATGTGTCTACTCTATATCGTTGTCGACTTATCACAACGAAGAGAGTGGGGGACTCGTGATGGATATATTGGACCCGGAATGAACCGACCCGGAGAGACGGATCCGAGGCGCCTCGGCCCAACCCCTTGGGCCGTGGCCGGGTTGGCCCAAAGCAACTCGGCCATGGGCCGAGCCCGGCCACGGTGTACCGAGCTCGTCACCATGGACTCGGCTACTGCCGAGCCGAGCCGGTCCATGGTGGCCTCGGCTAGCCTGAGATCGGCATATGCCCAGCTCGGCCATGCCGAGTCGCCCCACTTTGGACCCAGTCCCGGAGGGGACGCGGTCAAAGCGGGCCGATCTAACCACCCCCGGTTCTAGGGGTGCGGTTGGGGGTTGAGCTGGTATAAAAAGCTCCCTCCTTGTCCTAACAAAGGGCCTACTCATTATCTTACACAACATATTCCTGAATTACTATCTTATAGCATTATTGTCCTAATCAAGTCTTGTAATAGCTTATTAGCGATAATCAATACAATATACGGTCCCCGCGACCTACGGTCCCTGCGACCTTACGACATCTCTGCGTTATATTATTTATTTCGTACACATTCTTATCCGGATTCATTGATTCGGGTCTACCCCGGGTCAATTAATTTCATCACAAACACGCTGGGAATACTTGAGCATGGAAAGTGATTAAAAAACAGAAAGAAGGGATGACAATCAGGAATTAGGATAATTCACAATCGGAATTCCTAGAATTTGAGCACGAGGTGAGAGGAAAAAGCAGTGCATTGCCAGATGACGATTATAATAATTAAATCACACACACAAATATATATATAATATGATTGACGATATATTATACCTACGATTCGATCTGGGGTAGCAACGCGGACCCGGAGCACCACGTTGGAACCCGAAAGCACCCGGCCCACGGCACCTTGGAGGTGTCCCGATCCGAGCCGAGTGACGTGGGGCTCGAGTCGGGTGGCACGACCCTACCCGAGCTCGGGCCATAGCGAGCTCAGGTAGGGGAGCTCGGCACTACCCGAGACCGGGTCCCCGGTCAAAGGGCGATCTAACCGCCCCCCTCTTTAGGGGGAGCGGTTGGGGGGTTTGTTGCATATAAAAACCCACACCTCACATTGTTAGGACATCTACTTCCTATCCTACACACTTTGTCTTACCGAATCTTTGTAATAGCTAATTCCTACGACTTTTAATATAATATATGGTCTCACGGCCTTTACAACATCGTTCTATATTATTTATTCGTTATTCGCATTACGTTCTTATCCGGATTTATTGATTCAGGTCCACCCCGGGTTAATTAAATCCATCATTGGTGCTCTTGTTGAGAGCTGCTGTACCAGCTCAAGTGTGTTCTATATCCAGAGGTCTACCGCGACCAGCTACTATGGCAAGATCGAGATCGAACTCTCGTCACACCAACGGTTCCCGCGACACCCAGCTCGTCGCAACTGGGAACGGCCCCAACGGGGTCCTCAGCCTTCAACCGGCCACCTCCTAAGTCGGGGGAGACATGAGAGATCGCCTCACCAACCACCGCAACGGTGATGCCCCATCTCTCGCCGCCCCCGTTTCGGACCTATGATTTAGAACTTTAGGTAACCTCTGATTTTTAGTAACCATAATTTTCAACCAATTTTTAGTAAAATCCGATCCTAAACTAATTAAACTGGTTGAAACCGGAAAAATAGTAAAAGAAAAATTTGAAGAGACAAAAATGCCCTTACTAAAAATAGAAAAAAAAACATGAGAAGGACTAAAAGTGTCCAAAAAACAATAGTATGGGATTAAAATGGCAAAAACGAAAGCCTGGGACTAAATTTGGAATTGCCACCAAAGACAAGGGACCTCCGGTGAAATTAACTCGATATTTATTACATTGTTCATTATCTTCTTTTTACACTATCTTGTAATTTAATTAAATATCAAAGTTATAATACAAAATAATGTTATATATTTATTGACCAAGTATTTTATTAATACCATGAAAATTTTAATAAAAAAAAGTTTGAAACCAACCATATTAACTATTTGGGGGATTTGTTAACAAATAGGGTATTCAAATAACCTAACAAATTGAAGCGTGAAACTAGCTCGTAATATCTTTGGTCTACATCATATTTAAAATGTTCAAATTTTTACTACTTTATCTAATCTCATTCCTTAAACTAGGAATTTCTTTATCAACAATAACTCATTCAAACAATAATGGTTGAACCAAATGAACCCCGAGCAGAACACCTAAAGGATTGATATGCTTTTATGTTGATAATAATATGTAAATGTTAATTATATCATTATCTTACATAGCTACTTTTAAAACTCATTATTAAAACTGTCAATGTAGGGCAATAGAACATCGTAACACACTTGATGCACTGAAAGAGATGTCGAGGCTACAACAATGCTACAATCAATTTGGCAAACCTAGAAAATGAAGAAATTTCAAAATAGGCCACCATTGATTTATTCATTTATCCTGTATGTAAAATACTTATTGTGCATTTATTAAATATATTAGAACTAATATAAATTTACAATTCATTTCATATATTAGATCAATCTGCTTAGATTACAGGCAAAATCAACATCATACCAACCTTCACAACAAAAATACTTGGTATATAGGATGTAGTCACTATTTAATAATATGAAAAAACTTATGCACAAAGTTGAAAACAGTTTAACTCGAAGGTTAATATCAATTCAAAAAAAAAAATAAATTAAAAACACACACACGTACACACAAAATCAAGTATTACACTCATTCCTACTAATTCTAAACATATGAACTTGAAATGAACATGTGCAAAATGGATGTGGAAATTAGTGATAAAATTAGACACATTGCATCATCAATAATCGAACTATTTGCAGAGTTATTGTTGTTACTATCAAGTAAATAAGTTATGAAAATATAACAAGAGATACTACTCATTAACCTTATACAAATATAATAAATATTAATATTTTATTCAATACTTTCACATGAAACATGTAGGGAAATAAGCTACTACTACAAAATATCAACAACGCTTATAAGATTAAGAGTTTATAGTACAACTAAGATCCAAATCATATACACAACAAGGAAAATTCACAGCTTCCTACACCATAATCTCATTGCATGACGTTGTCATCTATGCTATTAACAATAACCCAATTACAAATAACACACTACTAACAAAAAGAAAGAGGACACATAGTAAAGATGAAGACAATGACAATGTTACTCCAAAGAAAATTAAGAATACTTAGAAAAAGTCAAACTAAAAGTAATATTTATTTAGACTATCGATTTTAGACCAAGTATTTGGACTATCAATTTTACAAAGTTGCAAACATTTATTTTAGGGACAATTATAATGAATTTCATATATTATCTTGCATTCATATACTTTGTTGAATTACATATTTAAATAAACAAATTCGACATTCAATTTTCTGTTTTACAAACTTTTCCTATATAATCTTGCATTGATATACTTTCAAATATTTATTTAAATATAAACATTGGACATTAACCATTCGCATGTAAAATTAGTAGTGTAATAAAATGTAATGTAAAAATCCAATATAGAAATTGCAGTGACTGATGGACTTAAAAATTAGACGTTTTAAAGTTAAAACCGTCAAACATTGAATCCTTCATCGTCACACTTCGACTTCAAGATTATCAATGGACAAACCCTCATACTTTCTGACGACCTAGGGTTTTCTTTTTTCCCCTTTCCCTTTTTCCCGTTTAGCTTCGAGGAAATTGGAATATTCAGGAGCTCATTTTCTTCGTTTTACACAGTTTTTTTTCCTGGTGAGTAAAATTCTGATTTTTATAAACCCTAGATCTTCCTATTTTGCTTATGTATTTCAGTCTTTATATGTTTTTTTTTTCCTGTTAGCTTTGATTTGCCTCGTTTATTTCATTTCTGGGTTTGTTAATTTTGTTTGATCTGATAATAATTTAGTCATGGCAGTGCATTTTAGATTCTTCTTTGCAGGTGCCTTGTTGGATCTTTTCTTGATTGCTAATTATAACTTTTTTTAGCTTAATTTTCTTTTGTTTGATGTTTGTCTATAAGATATTGAAGAACAGAGTAGTCAGGTGCTGTCAATATGTTCATACAAGCTGTTCAGATACCAGACTCTCTATTTGCTTAGTTTAAACTGAAACACTGATTTCCATAGATTATTGAGTTAAAAGTCAGTTGTTTATTTTGCAACTAGTAGAGATTCAAAAATAAGAAAATATTTGTAGGTTTTATGTTAGATAGATGAAATACTTGGGGAAGCTTTCTGGGTCAGGGGTGATGTTACCTACTTAATATGTACTAACAATTCTTTTTTGTGTTTATTACTTTACAATTTGATGACTATAGATTGCTTATTCAAATATTTTCATAAGCATGAGAAGTGGGGAAAACATAATAGATTGATAGAGTGCTTTTCTTGTTTTTGCTTTCAAGGTTGTACTGGACATTAACTAAATGGGAATGTCTTCTGGGTCTCATTTTAATCACCAAGCTTCTCCAAAAATGCTGCCACCTCGCCAACAACCTCGGCCTGGTGGGTTACAAACTAATTTATCCTTAGTCTCATCTGATGCTTGTGGGTCTCCTAACCTTCAAGAACGCGGCTCAAATTCTGATCAGGTTCGTGAATCCCCCTCTGAAAGTGCTAGCTCTCGTGAAACGTGGCCCACACCTGATGCTTTGGTTGGGAAGAAAATGGACAAGGAGAAAGAGAAAGAGAATGGCTTCGCTGAAAATTCTGTTGTCCGCCATATATCAAGCTCAGATAAGATGTCTCTTCAAGATGTTGCCCGAGAACGGGTGGATGTAATAGCAGATAGAATGCAACATCTCCCAGATGAGTATCTAGAGAAGTTCAAATTTGAACTCCGCGCTCTTCTTGAAGGATTGGGTGGTTCTCAGCATAGAGATGAATTCCTATTTTTACAGAAACTAGTTCAGAATAGGGGTGATTTGACAGATAAAACATTGATTATGGCTCACAGAGCCCAGCTAGAAATCCTAGTAGCTATTAAGACTGGCATTCAGGCATTTCTACATCCAAGTGTCAGCCTCTCGCAAGCTTCTCTAATTGATATTTTCTTGTACAAGAGATGTAGAAACATAGCTTGTGGAAGTGTCCTTCCAGCAGAGGACTGTACTTGTGAAGTTTGCTCCAAGAAGAATGGTTTCTGCAATCTTTGCATGTGTGTTATCTGTAACAAGTTTGATTTTGAGGTAAACACATGCCGATGGATTGGTTGTGATCTATGTTCCCATTGGACTCATACCGATTGTGCTATTCACAATAGGCTGATTGGAATGGGCCCCTCTGTGAAAAGTGGGAGTGGCTCCGCTGAAATGATTTTCAGGTGCCGAGCCTGCAACAGGACATCTGAATTATTAGGTTGGGTGAGAGATGTTTTCCTGCACTGTGCACCAAACTGGGATAGGGAAGCTTTTATAAGGGAATTTGATTATGTTAGTAGAATATTCCGTGGAAGTGAGGATCCTAGAGGCCTGAAATTATTTTGGAAGTGTGAGGAACTTATAGATAAGCTGAAAAGTGGTGCTGCTGAACCTATGGCATGTAAAGTTATTTTGTCATTTTTTCAAGGTAAGCACAACTCAAAAGATTACATTATCTTTCTCTCTCTAGTTATGTCATACTTGAAATATTTTTCCAGATTTTTTTTTTTTTAAATGACTATAATTGAGTTGAATTTGGTTGATAGATAAAAGTATATTGGATGTGATACACTTGCTTTGGTTTGAGCGCTCTACAGGAACTGCTCAGCTTGTATATTTGCTTTGCTTGTTCTAAAGTTAGAATTTTTCTTCTACACATGCCTCAATAATACTGTAACTCATGTTTGGTTCTATATATACTTTAATAACATGATGGGTAATGCACTGGGATACTGAGAACAAAAGTTACTAAAGGAAATTACATTTTAGTTTTATGGACTGTACATATAATTTAACTATGGAGTTAATACTTCCAATGGTCCTCTGAGTATTAGCGATTTATCAGCTGTGGTCATCAGAGTTTTAAATGACCTCCAATGGTCCTCCATGTTTTAAAAAATAACCACCCGTGGTCCTAATTCTTAAAAAACCCCGAGTTTAAAATGATCACGAGACGTCCTAAAAGGACCACGGGTGGTTATTTTTTAAAACATGGAGGACCATTGGAGGTCATTTAGAACTCGGATGACAACAGCTAGTAAATCACTAATACTCGGAGGACCATTGGAGGTATTAACTCTTTAACTATGTGTTATCAGAATTTCAACTATTCTGGGGTTGTGAGAAAAGAGATCTCCCTCCATTTTTACAAATCAACTAATGTTACCAAGAGGCAATTACTTTTTAAGCTCTTTGTTTTAAATCTTTGGTGGCTTCCTACTAATGTTAACATATGCCTTGTGATTCCTGGTGACTATTCATTGAGCTTGTGTGTCCTATTTTGTTGATTTGTTACTGATTGGATAGCAGCATAGCATTCAAGCTATAACACGGTAAATCTAAATATCTGTAGTCCCCAGGTTAGCCTGATTGAGTACTATGTTTAATAACTGTCAATACCCTTCTGCCAAAGGAGCTGGAATGACTAAAAGAACTGGTAATTAAAACTTTAACAAACCGTCATTATCATTTACCATAAGCACAGCAGTCTAATTGTACCTAGTTTTTAGCATTACAAGGTTTGCCTATCTGATTGTTGAAGTTCTTAATTGAAGGGATGACTATACGTAGTTACTTACATCTGAAACACATCTTATTTGATGTACTTCTTTCTTTTTTTTTGGGGTACATCTGATGTAATTCTGTTTTTTTTTTTTTTTTTTTTTTTTTTTTTTTTTTTTTTGTGGGTACATCTGGTGGTGGGTTGGGGTGATGGACGAACTCAAGTTTATTGCATAGGAAAAGGGTTTATTAACTTACTATTAATTTACACGCTGAACCCCCAAACCTCCTGTGATGCATTTCTTTGATATGCCATGTTCTTTTTTGCGCAACTCCTTTTATCTTATAAGTTTTATCTGATTTATTATGTTCCACAAGTTCCTCATATTTTCAATTGTTTCAATATAAGCCGAGACAAGTGCTAGAAAACATGACCTTAATGCTCTGCTGAATGTTTCCACTTTTCTTTCGTTTTATGCTTAATAACTTTCCATGGAGATTATGCTGTAACTTTACTGTTGATGGGGTTCCTGTTCATGGTAGGTATAGGAACTGACAGCAACCATCATTAATGTTTGCCTTCTCAAGTTGATCTAAAATACTTGTTACTTTTACTTTTTGTACTAAATTGATGTTGCTTGATATTTAGAAGCTTGATCTCAAAAGGTTGAGATAGTTGGTTAGCTATGGCCTATGGGCAACCTAGGTTGGTTTACCTCCTTGTGGTCTTTTGTCGGCTAGGGTCACAAGGCGGGGTTTACCCTGTGCAGACCCTCGGGTAGTGGCTGCTGGTTTCTCTCGTCACCCAAAAAAAAAAAGGTTGAGACACCTTAAGCACTTTACCTCCTTGTGGTCTTTTGTCGGCTAGGGTCACAAGGCGGGGTTTACCCTGTACAGACCCTCGGGTAGTGGCTGCTGGTTTCTCTCGTCACCCAAAAAAAAAAAGGTTGAGACACCTTAAGCACTTTACCTCCTTGTGGTCCTTTGTCGGCTAGGGTCACAAGGCGGGGTTTACCTTGTGCAGACCCCTAGGTAGTGGCTGCGGGTTTCTCTCGTCACCCAAAAAAAAAAAAAGGTTGAGACACCTTGAGCACTTTACCTTCTTGTGGTCCTTTGTCGGCTAGGGTCACATGGCGGGGTTTACCCTGTGCAGACCTTCGGGTAGTGGCTGCGGGTTTCTCTCGTCACCCCAAAAAAAAAAAAGGTTGAGACACCTTAAGCACTTTACCTAGCAAATTATGACAAGAGTGCAGATGGATGTACTTGGATGTTGTATTTTAATATACTGTAATTTGTTTTGCGTACATATCTAACTTCTGAGCTTTTACTACAGAGCTTGAGGTGGATGCGTCTAAGAGTCAAGAAGGAGATGAGGTAGGGCGTTTGATAGCTCCACAGGAAGCGTTCACGAGGATTGCTGACGTTGTACAGGAAGCCATTAGAAAAATGGAAATGGTAGCCGAGGAGAAGATGCGGATGGTAAAGAAAGCTCGTCTGGCTTTTGAAGCATGTGATCAGGAGCTCAAGGATAAAGCCCGGGAAGTGGCTGCACTGAAGATGGATAGGCAGAGGAAGAAGCAACAGATTGATGAGCTCGAAAGCATCGTAAGGCTTAAACAGGCAGAGGCTGAAATGTTCGACCTGAAGGCCAGCGAGGCGAGACGAGAAGCTGAGAGGTTACAGAGGATCGCACTTGCCAAGACCGAGAAGTCCGAAGAGGACTATGCTAGCAGGTATCTGAAGCAAAGATTGAGCGAGGCTGAAGCCGAGAAGCAGTATTTGTTCGAGAAAATCAAGCTTCAGGAAAGCTCGAGGGGTTCGCATAGTGGAGCTGGGGGAAGTAGTGACCCTTCCCAGGTGATGATGTACTCTAAGATTCAAGATTTGCTTAAGAACATGTAAAATGTTGTGTCAATGAAAGAGAACCAATCAAATGACCTGCTTTCTTATCTCTCTCTCTCTTGTATTTGTTAGGTTTCCTAATGTAATACTCCTTGTTTCACTGTTTACTCATTGTTCGGAGTTAACTTTATTGTCATTATGCCATTGAAAACCTTTTGTTGAATGAATAGTTACATTAGTGGATCAGAAAGGCTGGTGTTTCCTGATCAGGAAGGAATGTATATTAAAATATCGACTTAATTCTCAAAATGGTCTTCCGACTATGATCTTTTTTTAAATTGGTCTCTTGACTTTTAATTTCTCTAAAGTGGTTCTCTAACTTTTGAATTTAAAGCTAAAATGGTCCTCCGTTAGCGATGTTAGTTGGCGTTAAAATGAAGGGTAAAATTGGAAATATAAGTTTTTCACTCCAATTTAAAGCAATCTGTGATTCCATTCTACCGTTTGCGCACATATTTCTTTAAATTAGGTTTTCGTTCTCCTAAATTTGCAATCAAAATGTGAGATAATTAACAAGAGGGCCAAAAAAATTCATCTTCAACTTTTCCACATACTTCTCAAGACAGATTTCTGGCCTTCTAGTTGATTATTCCACATTTTGATTGCAGGTTTAAGAGAGCAAAAACTTAATTTGAAGAAATATGTGTGCAGATGATGAGAACTGATTGTATTATATTTTCTGAACTTGATTACAATGAGATCAGATGATGTGAATATATAGAATAGAGAGTCACAATGTGACAATGATAAGAAGTAGAGAGTCACAGTGTGACAAGGATAAGAAGTTCTAAACAGACTCATATACATAGAGTCTTAATACTTCCCCTCAAGCACAGTGTATACTAGTAACCTGTAGCTTGTCCCTTAAGGAAGAAAATCTAGGTCCAGGCAGAGCTTTGGTGAAGATATCAGCAAGTTGATCCTTTGTGGAGATGAAGTTGACTTGGATATCGCCCGAAGCTACTCGATCACGAACAAAACGATAATCAATCTCCACATGCTTGGTGCGCGCATGAAAGATTGGATTGACATCATATATGTAGCTCCTAGATTATCACACCATAATTTTGGAATGGAAATACCCGGAATCTGTATCTCACGCAATAATGACATAATCCATAGAACCTCAGCACAAACATCTGCAAGAGCTTTGTATTCAGCCTCAGTGGATGACCTGGCAACAGTTCTCTGTTTCTTGCAAACCCATGATATAAGATTACTCCCCAAGAAAACAGCAAAACCACTCGTGGATTTTCGATCATCAGGACAACCAGCCCAATCAGAATCAGAGAAAGCATGAATGTCTCTAGATGAGCACCGTCGTATGCGTAAACCATGATCAATTGTTCCCTTAACATACCTGAGTACCCGTTTGAGCTGCTCCCAGTGTGATATGGTGGGGGCATGCATATGCTGGCATAACTGATTAACTGCAAAGGATAGGTCAGGTCGTGTGACAGTGAGATATTGCAGTGCTCCAGCTAGACTCATGTACTGTGTGGGATCATCATATAGATCTGAATTGAAGGGGACAGTTTTCGAGACAGAGATAGGTGTAGAAAGGGGTTTGCATTCAGACATTCCAGCCCGTTTTAAAATATCATTCATATACCGTTGTTGAGATAAAATAATCCCATTGTCACTCTTAACTGTTTCAATACCCAGAAAAAAATTTGGTTCACCAAGATCTCTGATTTTGAATGTAGCAGACAGTTTGGACAAGAGCTGAGACATAATACCTTGATCACTTCCCATTACAAGAATGTCATCCACGTACACCAATAGATAAACCAAAGCAGAGTCTTTAGAGTAATAGAACAGAGAGACATCTGTCTTGGATGCTTGAAAGCCAACCGATAGTAAGAACGTATGTAGTCGATTAAAACAAGCTCTGGGAGCTTGTTTTAACCCATACAGAGATCTTTTTAACAAACAAACATGATTCGGGAAGTTAGCATCAATATAACCAGGGGGTTGCTTCATATAAACTGTTTCAGCCAGATTACCATTCAGAAAAGCATTATGAACATCTAGCTGTTTGATAGACCACCCAGATGATAAAGCTAGAGATAGAAGGAGTCTTACAGTCGTAGGCTTTACCACTGGACTAAAAGTGTCGAAGAAGTCCTGACCTGGAACCTGATTAAAACCTTTCGCAACCAGCCTGACTTTATGCCTTTCAATAGCACCATCAGCCTTTCTCTTCGTACGAAACACCCATTTACAGCCAATAATATTCATACCTGCAGTGGGTGGAACTAGAGACCATGTGTGGTTATGCAGGAGAGCATTGAATTCTTGGTCCATGGCTTCACGCCACTCAGGATATTTGACAGCTTGAGAGTAACATGTGGGTTCCGTGGGATGCACTTGAGCTGCTAGAGCAAAAAGAGGAGCATCTGCGTTGCTGCGAGTGACCATAGAGTGAGTACGGACATTGGGCCTGATGGACCGCCCACGTGGATGGCCTCGCCGGCGAGCAACAGGTTCCACAGGATCACCCGACGAGGCAGCCTGTCCAGGAACCACGGCTGGTTCGAATGAAGCAGGTAGCGGCGGTTCTGGCAGCTCATCATTGGACACGGCAGGAATAGGTGTGCTGTGACTGAGAACAGATTCCGCCCAAGGTCCAGAAAACGGAGTAGATAGATCCTGCAAAGAAGTTTTAGTAGCAAAGGGGGAAACTTTTTCATCAAATATGACATGCCTGCATGTGTAAATCTTATTAGTATGTAAGTTCATGCATCTGTACCCCCTAAAGGACTCAGGATAACCTAGGAAGACACATGGAGAAGACCTGTATGACATCTTATGACGATTATATGGTCGAAGATGAGGGTAGCATAAACACCCAAATACACGAAGAAAAAGATAGGAAGGAGGGGATTTATGTAACAGGAGATGAGGACTTGAGTTATTTAATACAGAAGATGGCATTCTGTTAATTAAATAGACAGCAGTCTCAAAGGCAAAATCCCAAAATTTCAAAGGAACAGAGGCATGAGCTAGAAGAGCCAGACCAGTTTCAACAATGTGACGATGTTTTCGTTCAACACGACCATTCTGTTCATGTGTATAGGCACATGATTGTCTATGTTGAATTCCTAATTAAACAAACAAAGAATGCAACTTTTTGTACTCAGCACCTAAATCAGACTGAATGGCCTTTATTTTTCAATTAAAGGACCGTTCAACAAGAGTACGAAATTTATCAAAGATGACATAAAGATCAGACTTTAATTTCATAGGAAAGAACCATGTATAACGGGAATAGTCATCCACAAAGATCACAAAATAACGGAAGCCAGAAGTAGATAAAGTGGGCGCAGGACCCCAAATGTCTGTGTAAATAAGATCTAGGACTTGAGAACTAGAGGAAGCAACACGGGGGAGGGGAAAACGGGCAGATTTACCTAATTGACACGCATTGCATAAAGAATTATGACAACGAATATTATCACGAGACCCACTAACCAAACAAGAACGAAGTATATGGCTAAGAACACGGTTATGAGGATGACCTAGACGATTGTGCCAAGTGGAAGCCGAGGCACGAGCGGAAATAAACGCTGACGGAGACGAACTAGGTAATGAAAGTGTGTATAGTCCCCCCGAACTATTGCCCCGAAGAAGTATTTCCTTGGTATTGATATCTTTTACAACAAAAAAGGAGGGGTGAAACTCAAAAAAGACTTTATTATCGGATGCAAACTTCTGAACAGATAATAAAGAATTAGACAAACGCGGAACGTGAAGTATATCAGACAATGTAAATGATCTAGAAGGGGTATTAAAAGAGGCATGGCCAACATGACTAATAGATAAACCCATACCGTCACCGACACGTAAAGTGTCATTACCAGTGTACTTCTCCGATGTAGAAAGGGCAGCGATGTTCGGAGTTGCATGATTTGTGGCTCCAGTGTCCGGAACCCAAGTATGAGAATTTGACGAGGTTTTAGCAACTAAACCATTCTGAAACACCAAATTAGCCTGAGAACCCGGAGCCCCTGAATATCGCCGAAAACAGTTGACTCCCGTGTGACCGAAACTTTTGCAAATTTGACACGGATCATTATAGCGCCAAAAACAATTGGCTCCCGTGTGACCAAAACGTTTACAAATTTGACACGGATCATCATAGCGCCAAAAACAATTGGCTCCCGTGTGACCAAAACGTTTACAAATTTGACACGGATCATCATAGCGCCAAAAACAATTGACTCCTGTGTGGCCGAAACCTTTACAGATTTGACACGGATCATCGAAGCCAGGTTGCTGACCTCCACGGTAATTAAGGTTGCCATCGCAGCGCTGCATCTTCTTAATTTTATGAATCACAAAACCCTAGCTAACTGATACCAAATGAGAACTGATTGTATTATATTTTCTGAACTTGATTACAATGAGATCAGATGATGTGAATATATAGAATAGAGAGTCACAGTGTGACAATGATAAGAAGTAGAGAGTCACAGTGTGACAAGGATAAGAAGTTCTAAACAGACTCATATACATAGAGTCCTAATACAGATTGCTAAAAGGAGTTACAGAATGTTTTAAATTGGAATGCAAAATATAAATTTCCAATTTTACCCTTCATTTTAACACCAACTTAACACCAAAGCTAACTAATGACCATTTTGACTTAAAATTCAAAAGTCGGGGGACCACTTTGAGAAAATTAAAAGTCAAAGGACCAATTTGAGAAAAGACCATAGTCGGATGACCATTTTGGGAATTAACTCTTAAAATATCTTAGGGTGTGTTTGGTTTATGGATTTACACATTAAGAATGAGAATCAAAATCATAGTTATTGACTTATTGTTTGGTTAACAACTTTTTAAAATACAATTATGAGATTTGATTATTCTTTCAATTAAAAACCTCATCCCCTAATTAAAAAAATGTATCATTTTCATCTTATTGGTAATATGATTTTTAAGTTTGGATTAGTGTTTTTAGATTTTTGTTTTGATTTTTTTTTTTGTTCATATTGGTGCTTTGAATGTTATTATACTATGATCAATTGCCTTAATTTTTTATTTTTTTTTTATATTTTTAAAATATTTATTCCCATTATAGGGTCATATATAATCAAACATCAATGTCAATAATCAATACAAAATACTTTCATACCATTACCAAGTATTTGTATGT